TTCGCATTTTATTGGGCGGGCACCCAAACTTTTGTGATTCTTTTCGATGCGTACCTCAACCATTGTGGAAATTTCCATGCAAGATTCTGGAATGATAACAAAAGGGAGAGGAGAGAAAGGGGGAAGGTTAATAAATGAAGAATAATTTTTATGGGAAAATAATTTTGAATATTCAAAAATGAATTTGAATAAAAAAGATGAATTCTTTTGAATTTAAATGGAATAATTTTAAATGAAAATATATAACAAATGGAATTTTGAATATAAGAAATTGAATGATATAATTTCAATATTAAATGGAATAATTTTAACTGCAAATATATTTTGAATTTGAAATGGAATAATTCGAATTTTAAATATAACTGTTTGACTTTCAAATGGAATAATTTTAATTTTGAATAAAACAATTTGAATTTCGAATGATTTAATTTAAATTTTAAATGGAAAAATTTTAATGCAAATAAATTTTGAATTTAAATGGAATAGAATAATTTGAATTTTAAATATAAAAATTTGAATTTAGATTATTATTTGAATTACAAATGATATATTTTGAATTTTAATGGGTATTATTTTAATATGAAATGGTATTATATGAATTTCAAGTGTAATAATTTTAAATTACAAAATAATGATTTGAATTTCAAATGAAACAATTTGAATTTCAATTAGAATTATTTATATTTTAAATAAAATAATTGGAATTTCAAATCGAATAATTTGAAATACAAGTGAATCGCTTGGAATTACAAATTCTGTACTGAATTTTCCATTCAAATGTTTTAAATTGTTTAAATATTTTTTTCTAACTTCCTTCCAAAAATTCCCTCCCAATGCTTACCTGGTATAGCGAACTGCACGGTATAGGGGTTGCGACATTTGAAATTACGTATTTCAATTAATTCCCCTGATTTTTCCACAACAATTTTCAGCATATCATCCTTTTCCAAACCCTCATTCAACATGGCGACAACTTTATTCTGGCCAATCTTAACTTTCTTGGGAAGAATTGTAAAACCATCCGAACATGAGGAAATACTGCGTGAAATACTAGAACCCGAATCGTGACAGACCGGGCGTTGGCACAAGGCACGGCCCAAAATATCCGTGGCAATACCCAAAATGTTACTTATCTGAGCTTGATCATTGTCGCGGATGACACAACGACGCCACCTCAAGTAGTTGGGAAGAGCTAGAAGAAGAAAAATAAATATTCAAAATTAATTTCAATTTTCCATTATTTTTTTAAATTGTAAACTTACCCGACTTATGTATTTCCTTGACTTTTTCCTCAGTAACATCCAATAGAATACCCAAAACTTTTTCAACCCGTATGATGCTTAAAAGCTGGGACATCAACAGCGAATGGGATAGAGCCAATAGAGCTGGACACAAAATGATAATTTGTAAGGCGGTATTTTGATATTTATAAGCAATTTCTTCACTAAAGGGACCATCTTCGATTTTGATGTGCAAAAAGCTAAAATAAAAATTTCAATAAAATTAATAAAACAATTCAAATTGTCAGAAAAAATTCAAAACTCACTTAAAAGGTTTGCGTCCACGTTGTTTGGTGATTTTATCGAAATGATTCTTCAAGAAATTCGCTCTCAATATTGCCCTTTCACTGTGCTTGGCCGTTACAATCAGAATATCGTCCATGTTGTAGGCTGCCGAACCAGCGGAGCTGCTGCTCATGCTGCTGTTCATTGTTCCACAGTTGTCTGTAAAATAAAAACATAATTTTTAGTCAAGAATATCCATAGCCTGTGTGGCAGCTATAAAACTCTGCATTATGCAGAGGTAAATTTAGAAATCAACAGAACGAAAAGTGGAAGCAGTGTAACCGAAAAATGGGAAGGAAAACAAATTGAGACAAAATAAAAACAAAAGACCAAAAACTATATTTACTGATAACAAGGCCGGCCAATATAAAAAAATTGTCGTCCCTACCAAACAGAGGGAGAAAGAGCCCTATTACATGCGGTTTTATGTGTGTTATATTCCCTTTTACCGGCGGCGTCTGCCTAACCGAATGACTGACAGACTGACGAATTTGACTGCATATCATTGAGATATGTGTGTATTTGTTTGTTGCTGTGTGTTATTGACATAGGATTTCTTTATGGCCAGCCAGCCAACCATTCAGACATGCAAGTCGAATGGGTGGGGTGATGGGAACAAAAACGAAAAAAATGCAGAAGCGATTAAAGGCAAACATTTGTGTCACCATACATTTCGACAATCATCGACAAAAAACAAATCGACACTTTGTGTTTGTTTTGATGGTGATTTGTATGGTCATGTTCTTCCATTGGTGTTTTTTCTTCATTTTTTTGATGATATTCGAATGCGACAATAAATGTGTTGAAAATTATCCTCCTAAGTGTTAGAGTCGTATTTGTATTGATTGGTGTTTTGTTTTTTTTTTTGTTCGTCAATGATAAATGTTATGAGTATAGCTGCTGATAAGCAGGAGTGTTTGTTGTGTGTTTTTTGTATTTTTTTTTATAAAAAAGGAGAGAAAATTATATATCAAAATTGCAGTACTTTTCCAATCACTAATTTTTTTGGTGGGTGGAAAAATTTTTGGGATAGCTAGGGTATTTTGTATATTATTCAAATCATTTAGAAACAGGGGTCTTATCGAAAATGTTCACGGTTTTGACTTTAAAAATGCTATTGGTTGATAGGTTGGCGCCCAACGTTGGGCTAGACTTTCACATTTAAATGTTAAAATTTGAAGAAATACCACATCAATTTTTATAATACTTAAATCATTGCGAAGCAGTTGTCTTATTGAATATTTTCACGGTTTCGACTTTAAAAATTTTAATTTTTAATAGGTTGGCGCCCAACGTTGGACCAGACTTTTGGATTTTAATATTAATATGATGTATTGCATTTGTGGGATGTTATTTTTAAATTTTTTGGCGCCCATTGTTTCTGTTTTAAATATTTAGACATTTTTCCAGTTTATTTAGAATTATACTCGATTTGCTGGCGCCCAATATGAGGTCAAATATCACTGTGAGGTTTGATTTTGACTCTGCAGTTTTAAAATTTTAAAAATGTATGATTTTTATTGTTTTGGCGTCCAGCATTTCATGGAAATATTTTGTAGAAAGATAAAAAAATCTGCTGGACAAAATTCTGTAACGTGGAATCTGTTGGCGCCCAACGTGTTTGATTAGGTTGAAATTTGCTTCCTTGGCTTTAAATAGTCTTAGAAGTGGGAGGCTCCTATAAATTATATGAAGAGGTCAGCCCCATTAATTTATACTCAATTATGAGGTTCCATTATGTTTAAATTTACAAATTAAGTTTTTGTGTATTTTATTTGGCGCCTAATACGGGTTTGGAAGTTTTTAAAGGCTGTACTAGGCATATAAATGTTCTATCAGTTTTATGTTTAGAAGCTAAGGATATATTATAATTTTTTGGCGCCCAACATATATTCGAACCAAGTGAAATTTTCATTGTATAATTGAATATGGCGCCCAACGAAGGGCGCTATCATTTTAAATGGTTTAGAGCTCAAGGATGAGGTTGTTGTTTGTTTTTTATCATTTTAAATGGTTCAGAGCTCAAGGATGAGGTTGTTGTTTATTTTTTGACCCCTTCTGATCTCACCACCCTCCTTATTATCCCTTCATCCATTTAATTTAATTATTTTATATATAAATAAAATACAGAGACATGTCTGCCTACAACTTCATTGAATGCATTTTCTGGTTTCCACAGGCGTTTTCCCCTCGAGATTTTTTCCTCGGTTTCTTTTTATTTTATTTTACTTGTCATATTGTCATGGAAACACATGAAGAATTCCAACATTCTTCTTATTTGCTGGAATATTATTTTATGATGGCTGGGGAGTAAATGAAATGTTTTCTTTTTGTTTTTGCTGTTGTGTCTGTTGCAAATATTTTTAGGGCTATTTTTATATACAATTCTTCTTTTGGGCCGAACTTCGCTTTTTTGTGCATTCTTAGTTAACTACACATGTTGAATATTTTGCCAGACAGGATTATAGTGCCAGACATATGATAAACAAACGGGATTGCTGCTATAGAGCGGGATGGTCTGTTTCACTTGTTTAAAAAAAATTGGGGTAGACAAATTGCAGAGGAATTGCAAATTTTTTTCTACAAACTGGAAACGAATTTCGCTGGAATGTGACAAATGTTGCAAAATGAAGATTTTTTGTAATGGAAAAAATATATTTCAACATTACATACCACGTTGGGCGCCATAAAAGGTCAAATGTTATTTTTTGCATTATATATTTACAAGATGTAAAATAATAGAGGCAATTAATTGATCACCGATTGTTATTTTCCACGAAAATACCTATGATGGATGCCATAAAATATAAAATAACAAATTTAAATAATTGATTTTCAATGTCGCCCAAACGTTGGGCGCCACAGAACAAGTCATTAAATTATTAATAATATTTAAATAATTAATTTCCAACATCGAACAAACGTTGGGTGCCATAAAACATCACATAATTATTAATAGTATGTTAAATATATATTTTCCAACACCCAAGCAAACGTTGGGCGCCATAAAACATGTCCGATTTTTAAATAATATTATAAATGATTTTACTAGCCATAAAAATAATATTTTTAGTGCAGATTATTTATAAAGCTTCACTGCGGATCAAATATTTATAGTTTTCAGAAAATCTCTCTCTTAAATTATTATGACAAAAAAAAATTACATTTATTTGCCATTATATTTTTCGCCATAAATTTCTCCACCAACAAATCCACCGGTGGTGGTCAAACATTTGTTTTATGGCCAAAGAACTTACAACATTAAAAAAAAACTTTAAAATAAAACTAACACACACTTTTAACAATAAATTACCTTAGATTACACGAAAAGAATAAAAACAAAAGCCACCTACACTAAACCAGCAGCAACACTGATGGTTTGTTGTTCTGCGACATCTGGACACACACACAAAAATATCATCAGCAGCAACAACACTTAAATTCAATTCAATATTCAAACAACGTCCACTCTCTAACCAAACAAGCAGCTACTGCTACCACTGCCGATAAACTTAATAAATTGTCTCACATAAATCCTTTTTACTACCCATGCGGCACTAGTCTCGCAAATGATGAGAAAAACGTTTATAAAACACTTAGTGTCGGCGAAAATAAAAACAACACAACGACGGAAAAAATAGTTTAAATAAATAACATAAATTTAGTCACGTTCAGAAAAAACAATTTAAATAAACAAAAATATTATAGCGCACAGGAGGAGAAGAAATGGCTACCCTGGTGTTTCCAAATTCATTTCAAAAAGAACACACACACTCATCGCTTTATAGGGGACAATATGTTGCACAAAAACCAAAAAAGTTTTTTTTGTCTATTTTTTATATATATTTAAATTTCTTTGTTAATTTGTTTGCATTTTTCACTTTTAAAATTTCTTAGCTTTTTTCCCCATTTTTGTATTTTGATTTACTTTTTTGTTTGTTTTTGTTCTCCTCTTTATTGTATTATTTGTTTGTGATGTTATCGGCAAGCGTGGCACCCAAATACTGCACTCGTTCCCTACTTAAAGAGGCAAATGTTGAACTTTTGGTGACACCCACCATAAAGTTGCAACTGGGAGTGTGTGTGAGTATGTGTGTGGCAGAAGCAAATAAGCAAGCAGCATCCACCGAACCATCATAACAAAATGAATGAAACAACAACAAAAACAAAAGGGGATGCATCATGAGGCAAAAAAAAAAAACAACATCCGAAGCAGTTGCTTAAGACTAATCCCAGGCAAAATGCTAAATAAAATAAGACAAGGCAACAAAAATTGGGGGTTTTGCCTTTTGCACAGTGAGGATCAGGTATAGCATTATTTATTTTTTTAATTTTTTTTAGAAAAAAAAAAAAATTAAAATTTTAGTTAGATCATACCATTGATTGGGCGCCGGAATTAAGGTTGACGTTTAATAGTTTTTTTATGTGGAATTTTTGACTTCTCTTTGGGAGACTTTCAGGCTATATCTGGTAGGTAAAGCGTCCTTTAGACCTGTACCAAGCAAAATGGAAAATAAAATTAGGTAACAGAAACTGGAATTAAGCCTAAACGTATATCAAATTTAGGACCCAAAAATTTTAAAATTTTTTAAATGGTTCATGTATATTAATGATATATACTGAATAATTTTTAAAACCCCATATATAATACTCAAATTTGTAAAAATACTCACGTTGGGCGCCATTAATAAATTTCGATATTTATTTAAAATTCATTATTTTTTTATATTATGTGCTAAAATTACTGAAAACATACCATCTCTTAGATAGCAGCAATTTGGATATTGTCTTGACTCTCTCTTTCCGTCTATCTATAAATCTATCTATCTCGTTAAATCTATCTATCAAATATTTTTGCTTTGAAAATGTTGTATATTTTGAATGCCGAAAAGTTCGCTATATCAAAAAATTTATTGGGCGCCGCTTCATATCACACATTTATGATATCTACAGAAAAATTAAAAAAATGTATTCAATACTCAAATTCGTATCATTATTCACGTTGGGCGCCATTGATAAATTTCTAGATTTATGAATTTTTACAAGTTTTACATTCTGTTTTATTTTATTTATATTTTTGCTAAAAATACTGAAAATCTACGTTGTCCAGAAGAGGAAAATAATTGATGGGTTTATGGCTATTACATGGAAACCAAAGC